TACATATATTATAAACAAAATGTATATTATATATAATTTGTATAAAAATATTATAATTAATAAATATTATAATTACAAAAATAAATTTTATTTTTCATATATTTTAGAAAAATTTGTTAATTTATGATTTTTTTACTTTTTATGTCATAAAAATATTAGAAATATAACAATATATATATACATATATTATAAACAAAATGTATATTATATATAATTTGTAAAATTTATATAATTATTGTTAACGAATCGAATTTCGAATCGAATATCTACACATTCGAATTCGAATTCGTTATAATTCCGAATCTAAAACATCATTCGAATTCGAATTCGAATTCGAATATTTCGAATTCGAATATTTCGAATTCGAATCACGAATTAACGAATCGAATCACGAATCGAATCAAAATGGTTTGATTTGTTTACAACCCTACTATGGAGTATTGAAGATAGCTCCATTGAAATCCATGACCGAAATAGAGAGGAAGACAAAGGAGGGTCAAAATTTATTTATTTATTTATTTATTTTTTCGATGTGGGGGAGTTGCTTGAAAAGTATGGGATAGTTCTGTTATTTTTGATAGTCGTAGATATACATGTAATCTAATAATGTGTAGATAATCTATGCTTAAAAAATACAACAGAACAATTCCGTAACGAGATGGTAGCATTTTCCGCTAATTTTATCATCAATTGTGTGAATAATGCACTTATAAAAATCACTCTACATAATACAAGAAAAACTGCATTTGACGAGGCTTATTTTTTTGTTTACTGACGCTTATTTTTTTCTGACATCAAATTTAGCAACACAACTCGCCAATAAGCGTCATTAATAAGCGTCGCCAAATACAGTTTTTCTTGTAGTATGTGACTCAGAAGAAATTACCTTTTTAAATAATTGTTACTCATAATCTATGTTAATTGAAAGGGGTTGTTGGATTTATTATAAGTAAAAAAAAATATATATATATATATATATATATATATATATGTATATATATATGTATTGTCAAATATGGCTGACTTTCCAATACTAGAATTGTTTAGTATAATTTAAAGAAAAATGGTTTTTCTGTTTCCTGATTTACATATGAAACGGAAATATGAATTTATTTAATAGAAAATTCTATTTTATTTTCTGACCTTACGAGTTAGATTTTATGTCGATCAATTTAAGAAATTGATCGAATTATTTATGTTATTCACTTTAAAATATGTAAAATAGAAAATTAATGAGAATACATTGTAATTTTTTTTGGCAGATTTATATTTTTAGTACATATCACTTTGTAATAATTCGTAACCTTCTTGGTTTCTTTAGCCAATTTCGAATTAAAAAATAAAATATTTATCAATTAACTGAAAACACATAAACAAATGTCTTACTTGATATTCCTTTTCAAAATAATCGATTTATAAATATTGATGTACATTTTCGTATAAAACAACATATATAAATATTCATTCCCTTTATTTAATGGTCACTGCAAAATAATATGTATATTTTATATGTTTGCGGGTCAAAATTTAAACTCAAACTAAAAAAGATTTATATATTTTTTTTCTCAAATTACTTTGTGTTAATCAACTCAAAATATGTTAAATTGAAAAACTACTAGAAAACAATTGTTCATAAAATTGAGCAAAATTTCTTATAATTGGTACATATCAATATAAAGAATTAGCACAAATCTTGGAATAATTTTACGCGATTTTTCAATTAAACAAAATTGATTCCTACGCGTAAGGGGTTCATTTACAATGAATTAGTATAGACCGGAAGATATCCTATCCTTAAAAAAAATATTATCTTCTTTTTTTTTTTGGTAGCTAGCCACGGTATCCGGAGCTATCCCCGACTAATCCTTTGGTCGATTCGGGTTGCACACCTGACAGTGGTGGGTGAGTCTCCCAACAAGGGTTTTCTACATCCACAAAGACTCGAACTCGAGACCTTGCTTAAACGACATCAAGCTGCTTACCACTTAAGGCTACCTCTATTGGTAAATATGTTCTTTATATATATATATAACCTAATAAACAACTTAAGTGAAAATTAAATATATATGTAACATAAAAAATGAATCAAAAGATAAGGAAATCAAAACGCATAATGAAATTGTCATGTTTTCCCAATCATTTATTTTCCATATATCCGATCATATGCAATATTTCTTAAATATATATTTTATTCATCCCTACCTTTGATTATTTTACCGATTTATTCAGTTGTATCATTTTTGCTCTGTAAAAGTGATGTAATACCAGTCTTATTATGTTTTATTTCTTGTTAAAAAAAAGGTCGCATATTTGCGATACAATGAAGGTAGTCATTCGCAATATAAGAGCATTTCCAATACTTAAATGTAGTTGTAGTAAATTACACTATATATTAACATTATTTAGCAATTTATCCACTTTTAATCCTCCGATACACAATTTTATTACAAATGTAGCGCTTAAGTGGACCTAATTAATGTCCACAATGTAGAGAAGAATGTGGTTTATCCATATTATTATTCACTTTATAATAACCGATGTAGAGGAGAGAGATAAATATTATTACATTTTTTAAAATATTTAATTATTTTATTCTTTTTCTTTCATATTTATGAATTTTTTATTTTTGTCAAATGGATAATATTGTGTTTGATTATATTGTCCATTGGAGACAATTTATTGGAATTAAAGTTGTGAAGCTAATAATTATCTTATGTGGTTCACAATCCATCTAATTAATTGACATTTGTCAAAAATTATGTAATAACAATACTTATACATTCGAGATGCTCTAAACCATACATGCTAAAACACTTTGCTATTCATCTGATACTCGTTTGGTAAGTCATTCACACATAATATATTGAATATTTTTTTGCGATATTCACGTGTGATATATCTATATCTATATATATATAATGGACCAACACCTTCACTAAGTTCAAAGGTGACCTTCTGGTTCGTTAAGGTATTGAAAGTCGCGCAACAAACATAGTTCGAATGGTTAGATAAGAGGGGACTAAGAAAAAATGATATTGCCAAAATTGACATGGTTTTGGACGAAAAATATTTTTCGTCTATATTTGGTATCCAATTAATCTTTATTTATTATTAGATCTTATATATGAAACAAAAGTTAACTAATTTTTGTGGCTAATATTTATTAACTATACATTGACTTAAATAGAATTACAATGACCGTAGATAGAATACATGTATTTTCAATAAAATCTTAATATTAATTTCATAATAATTTATTTAAGAAATTAAAAAAATATATTATAAAAATTAATCTGATTAAATATATTATCATTTATGCGGTAAATATTAATTTAATTAATGATATTCACTTATAGAAGTATATAACAATATCATTAGAATAAATATGTTTAAATCATACTAATTTAATGAATAATTTAATTAATGATATAGAATATTATACTAGATCGGGTTTAATGGATACAACGAATACATATTGGAGGATAAGCCAACGTACGAACTAAGACATAGAGCATAACAATATGGGTCAAGCCCAACTTGAGCCCAAAAAGGTACACTCCCCCTGTAAAAGGGGGCTAAGGTATCACTTTCTTTCATTCTCTCTATTCATTCCATATTACACACTCTCTCTCTCTTGATCTGTTGGGTTCTGCAGGTACAGAGGCTGTTCGAATTGAAGGAGCCCGGGTGAAATCTATTTCACTTCATTGGCGCCGTCTGTGGGGAGTGGTCGAGCGCGGGCTTGCCGCGGGCCCTTGTGGGCCGAAAATGTGAGGAGACGGGCTGATGACGCGGGCTGGTGAGTGGGCCTTGCGCGGACCAGGATTTGTATGTGTTTCGGGCTTCGCGGGCCGGGAGTGGCCCGCGTTCTTCTCTTCTGCTTTTGCTGGGCTTCGTCATATTGGGCCGCGCACAATCTAGTTGGGCCGCGGCTGTGAGCTCCTCAATGAGCTGGATATTGGGCTACCAAGGCTTCCTCCTGCAGGCCACACGCTGGGCCTCCCTGATGGCGCTGGACGCGGGCTGTGTTGGACCTGTGGAGAGCTGCTCGCCGATCTGCAATCGAGGGCTTCAACCCACACCTAACTCCAGCAGAAATAGTCGAAAAAATACCGCCGGAAAGAGCCACTAGCTTCGGCTAAAATGACCATCCATTAGAGCGCCTCGGCGATGAGACTTCAATGGTGCCTTCGGCTTAAAGTGAATCGCCGGGAAATTGAGGAAGAAGATCAGAGTTGACCACCCATTTTTTAGATCCATAAAATTTGACCGGCAAAATCGACGGCCTTCCCGAAGGAATT